TGAAGTAAGTATTTTGTAAAGATTCGCATAATGAAGATTCGCGTGCTTACGCTGTACTAATTTTGCATGAGCCGCTAAAAAACACTTTATAGTCGAAACTTAAGATTTGGAAACAAAGATATATTTACATATATCATAATGATATTAAGCTAGTCCTCTATTGCACAAGCCGTGTGGTGGTTATTTTTAGAATTACCGCTAAAACAAAAAAAGTCTCAACATTGTTCGTGCCCCCTCGTACTGATTTTGGTTTCTGCTGAGCTACTCATACTATATTGAGATGAAAATAAAACCTAGATACTAGATTCCTTTAATTTTGCAAGTTTCAGGTTTCAGGATAAGGTCTATAATTAATAATTATGATAATAATATATTATATTCTCGCTAATTGTTTTAATTTTGCAAATCTCAGACAAGATTTCTCGCCCCATTATAATTATGCAAAAGTACAGAATGGTACAAGGTACGTGTTTAATCTCCCATTATACCATCTGCCGCTTGCTACAGAAACATTACCAATTTAGCTGCACATCCCACTATAATAACCTAATAAGCTCTCTCTCTCTCTCAATGTGGTCTGAGCTCTATTATACAAGTTTATATGCAAGGTATTAATGTTATATTTCCTTGTCTAGCAGCACATGAGTTTCATTAATCATTCAGGGCTGCATTAATATCTCTCTCTCTCTCTCTCTCTGGCGGAGATGTCCACTTTCCAGGGCTCTCTATATATCTATTTATAGTTCTAATTTTGTGATATTAGTATTTTAGCACAACGAAACCCCCACATGCACATCCAGAAAGTTTTAAATTTCCCCCCAGTCAAACGTCTGCTCCTTAAGCATTTTCTTGTGCTCCAAAAAATGTCAGGTATTCTAAAACATCTTCTCTTTGGTTCCAAATCTCCTCTCGAATTCAAAATTTCTTCCCAGTCAGCCTGTGGAGCCTCATTCTGCACACAGAACTTCAGAAGTACGGGTTATCCAAAATGTAGGTAGCTTTTTCAGGTTCACTGCAGTACAACTGGCTGGCAACTATAACAGACATTGTCGGGCATCTAGTCTCTACTATAATAGTGATCACGTGGTGTAGTGAACTGATCACGTGGTGTAGTGAACTGATCACGTGGTGTAGTGAACTGATCACGTGTCTGGGAGTGATTGAGTGATTGAGTGATAAGCTGACACGATAACACACACATAGCTTACAAGTGTACTGTCTGTCGTGGTGCTAAGTACTAAGTAGTTAATAGCACCGTATCTCCAACAGCAGCTGGCAACTACTGCTTACAATATCACGTGATGTACAAGTCTATTAATTACTGCTCCTTTCTTTTGTTATTGTCACAGTAGAGCTTGCCACAGGCTGATGTGACATGACAATATGAACTAAGATGACACTATACTATGTTTTCTGTGTTCTTTACAAACATTAGCGTGTGTTCTTTACAATTACAAATATTCAGTATGCACGTGGAAATGACATGTTTTGTCATGATATAATGTTATGTCAAAGACCTTGAAATATAATTTATATAATATGTCAGGATCTGGTAAATAGATGAACATATTTATCTCAAAGTAAAGTGGTGTAAGTAACATGATGTAAAAACAGGGAGTCCAGCTCCTCAATTTTAATGCATTATTTCCTAATGACATGTAACAACCCGTGATGATATACTGCATGTTCTATAATCTTATAATCTATACGTATGTTTTGCGTGTGTCGTTAGTAGATTATAATGTCCGTGTTGTTAAGGCGGTGGTGCTGTTTATTATGCTCAAAAATCTGCTGACACACTCTCAGCTCCATTCCTGAGCTGACAGATCTACAGAATCCTTAGATGTGGAGCGTACTGCAGACTGCGGCATCTAAAATTTGCAGTAAAAGTCTGCGTTTAAATCGTTAAATATTGTGGAATGTTGTGAGAGAGCGTGTCAACTGCTAAATACTCATATTGTGCTGGGACTCGTATTTAGTTATAATAAGTGAACAAATCATACGGTGGAACTTGGAAGTGAACGCCCTTTTTTCGATGTAATCTTAATAACAGAATCGAAATATAACCACATCTTAAGATACTGATATGAAGATAGATTATATTATTTCTACTATTTCTACAATTTCTGTTATTTCTACTATTTCTATTATTTCTGACGAGATTCTTTTCGAATAATTTTCAAGACTTGATGTCAACTTATTATCAGAGAAAAAGACGATTTATAAAGGAGCAACCTAACATTCTACCTACTCCTCATTTCTTAAGACGTCCACTACATGATGTTGCTCTACCAATTTTACTTATGTCCCTTAAGCGCTTTTAACTACCGTTCACCGAACCTTGACTGCGGCTTTGTTAACAAGGTTTGGCCGGTAGAGGGTCCGCAGTAGTCCCATTACCTTAGTATTGCTGTTCCACTACTACAGAAATAATCCTGATAACACTCGACCTCTGCCTGATCCAGAGGATATCACCATTTTACCTTCACACAGACATCGAACGCTGTAAGAAGATGACGATCAGACCTCATTATTGATGATCCCGCTCGTCGGAGAAGATAAAGGCCTTGCTCAGCAATGAGTAGGGTTTGCAGTTTAGATAGCCATGTGGCACGCTGCAACTAAATTATTCGAGATTCTTCTCGAATAATTTTCAAGACTTGATGTCAACTTATTATCAGAGAAAAAGACGATTTATAAAGGAGCAACCTAACATTCTACCTACTCCTCATTTCTTAAGACGTCCACTACATGATGTTGCTCTACCAATTTGACTTATGTCCCTTAAGCGCTTTTAACTACCGTTCACCGAACCTTGACTGCGGCTTTGTTAACAAGGTTTGGCCGGTAGAGGGTCCGCAGTAGTCCCATTACCTTAGTATTGCTGTTCCACTACTACAGAAATAATCCTGATAACACTCGACCTCTGCCTGATCCAGAGGATATCACCATTTTACCTTCACACAGACATCGAACGCTGTAAGAAGATGACGATCAGACCTCATTATTTCTGACGTACGTGTAAAAGCATAGTAGGCTCCTTCATCAATATCTTCACAAGACAATAGCGGACATCCGGGTCATTCTGCCTGAAACAGGCGGTAGCTATTTAAGGAATGTAGGGTTTCACCCCCAGTAAACCCTTGTTAGACCGTGGTATTACCACTGTTGTGTAAATTGGATTATCGGAATCTACTGGCACATTACCAAGTGTCGCTCCATATATCAACCAGATGGAAGTGGCCCAGCGAGACTAGCAACATGTGCTCAAAGCTGTTTACGGATCTACTACTCCACAGATTATTATCAATATCATAAGTTTTGAAAAGAATTATACTTACAATCACATTTTAAATACTGTGTTTGGTTGAGAATATAAAGTTAAACTGTGTGTTCTGTCCACGCTGTTGTGATACGGAAATGCTAAATATGTCAAATTATGTTTTTTTAAAGCATAATGTGTTTTCATTGTCATTCTACTTTACCGACAACAGCTCATTTAAAACTGTTCAAAAAAATTATCCACATTCGGGTGTTTCCAACACGTAACTTGGGTTGACCTAATTATGGATCAATTAAATTGAGATAAGCAGGCATGCATCACAAAACTGGGTGTATCTAGAAATAGAGTGTACTAAAAGATATGTAGTGCGTTTGTCAGTGTACTGTGCAGTATGCAATGCTTCATGTGAAATATCTGTCACCAGTCTCTTCGTAAGTAAATTCCACATTTGAGAGGTCAGAAAAAACCACATGTGCATATCACAACTATGTTACCACAAGTGAAATAACATTCTTGTAACAATGTTTCTATTTTCCATAAGCTGCTTCAATGACGTAATATAATGATATATCCGGCTCTATTACATGCACCTGTAACTGATATCCGGCTCTATTACACGCACCTATAGCTGTGTCAGAGTGTTAACAATCTGATCTTTAGAACACGAGCCATTTCTCTCTCTCATTATTCACAGTAAAATGTAATTATAATAACTTCTATATTGTGTTCTTTTGATCCATTACATTACGTCACTGTCACGTACTATCTTGTAATGAATGTTAGAATCTATCATATTCACATAATATCTAGAAGAAGCTAGTACAGAACATACTGGCATAGTGTTAAGATCTTGCTTCCCCCTACTTATATAATTACAGTGTAAACTGTACCAGGTATCTCTGCTAAAAGTCTCTAACTATCGCTACTTTGTTACTGTATGTGATGAACTGTTGGCAGATCACCAAATCACGATATGTACACTCTGCAACGCAGTCATTGTGCATTGTGTATGTGACAAATCATGTTGTAACGTTGAAAGTGCGTCATTATTCCTGTCAGAAGAGAATTTAACAATACAATTCTGAGAGCTGTAATTACGGTTGAGCAGTGTCTGATTATTATTTGGTGCTTGCTATGTAATTTGTAATTGTACATGGCCTGGGTTTGTTTTCTTCAAATTACAGGGAGATTAATTAATATGCAGTGCGACGGCAATACTGCTGCAGTACTGCATACTTCTCAGATAGGAATTGTTATTTAACATGATCAATATGAATTATCATTCATTGATTATTACAATTATTACAATTATTATTCAATAATCAAGCATAAATCATAATTTATAACGTTACAATGTAAATAAGCGTTCAGCTGCACTACTAACTGTAATTTACCACTGATGTTGTCTGTGGAATTTCCCGCAGAATGGCCGGACTTCCTGGATACTGCCCAGTTTCGAGGATCGAACTGTAAGCTATATTTAGCGGAAATAGTCTGGCCCAAAATTCTAAATTTCGCGCTTTATGTCTGGGAAGGGCTTCTAAGTCTGGGTTTTAAGTGTGGGGTGTAATATTTGGTGTATCGTTGTTAAATTCATCACCCTTACTATAAGGAATTACTTAACTCAGTTTGTTAAACTATTAATGATTTTTCTGCTTGTTATTTTATGGATTTAAACTCCAGGATCAGTCCGACTAAAGTCTCTTTTTTCTTTCAGATCAAAACCGAATCAGCCGACAGACAAGGTAACAAAATTAGAACAGGAAAATTAAATATTTCACACGTGTTTCACTCGTGTTTTACTAATGTTTCACTCGTGTAATTCCTTTTATTTTAGAGTGATTTAACCTGCATTTTACAGGTAATCTAATAATCCAGCAGCTCTAAAATAAAGATACATGACACTATATACCTGCACAGCTTATAATATAATAACTATTCACAGTAACTAATTGTTGCAAAATGCGCATGACATTAAAACGGTGCAGCACACATAGCTCTCGCTGCACACAACATGGTCGCGTGTATTCTCGCGTACAAAACACATCGTTTGTTGAACTCATTCAATGAACTCAGCCTACCCTTCATTTTACAATTATGAACCGCATATTATCCCGCATAATATGCAGTTTCGTGCTGCGTCCGTGATAGCACGTCAAAATCGTGATGACGTTTTGACTCTACCCGATCTTCCGAAGGTCCAGTTTGTCTAACCGAGTCTAATACTTTACCAAGTATTCAGTTCTACTTTCTAATGCTAAAATTACTGCAATTACTGACAAATGTCGAGTGAGGGAGAGAGAAATGTTATTTTACATGCTAACTCTCCCACTGACTTCTACATACTGAAAACACATTGACAACGTTACATGAGGAAATAAGTTGTGACTTCTTATCGGTAATTATTGCGGTTATTATTGCGGTTCAGTCGTTCGAGTTAGCATTCTGTAATGGAGATAAAACGGTGCATACCAAGATGTGTATATTATACTGTGTTGTTATTGCACTCTGACTAGTGCTGCACACATAAATATTCAGTAAGATTTTGAATGGTTTCGTTCGCACATGAAACAGCGCGATGTTATTATAAGTACAACACGGCGGGCTGTCTTTGACAAGATACCTTGGATTATCTCTCGACTCCCGCTTAATTGGGGAATGCGAAGCTGCTAAAACTGGAATTCTCGTAACAGACTCAAACCGCATCCCAGAAATTATTGGCACACAAATCGCTGATTTTGTTATTGGTTGTCTGCAGCAGGTGACATGCTCGAATCAATCAGCGCTGAGAGTAGATCCCACTAGCTCGTCACAGCCAGTATTATTATTATTATTATTACGATTTGTAAGCTAAGCACCTGTAACACCCAATAATGTACTCGAAGTTTTCTGAGACAGCTGGCCTACTTGATCCGTGATCAATAGCTGTTATTATTGTTAACTCTCCACTTGTGTAACTTGTAGACAGTGATTATCTTGCCTTGTTCGTTTCTTTATTAAAAAGACGCGGTGAATTTAGCTTGTAGCTACTTTATGGAACACGCGAAGACGTCCACTCTACGATATTTTCTATTTTTCCGAGGGACGCGCGTATATTTGGCGCGCGTTACGTTATATTATGCATGCATATATATATATATATTATGCATACATGCGATGGATGGCGCGCGCGGCAGTGCATAAAGAATTAATTATGCAAATTGCAAATAATTATACATTTTGCATATGTCATTTCATAATTCATGCATCTTATAATTCATATCGAAATATGTCAACCTGATATTTCAATGATAACCTGATCAAGTATAAACAGGGTGAATACCGAATCTGTAGTCTGTGCTCTCGAATAAGTATAATAATACTTGGTTTTTCGGTAAAATTGAGATCAAAGACAAAAGCTCATCTTTTCTTTCCTCAGATATTCGGGGTTATGAAGAGAAGAAGTTGAGTCAACCCAACCCTCTCAGATTGACAGTCAGAAAACATTTGAAAACTCTTCTCTCCACCAGGTATTCTTGGAACTCAACTTCTTTTTCTTTCTTTTTTTAATTTCTTTACCGACCCTAAGTTATATTACTTCGCGGAAACAGAAAATCACTTAATATATTTCTCACAATAAATAGTTCCTAACAAACTACCATCCCCTTCAGAGCGAAGGAAGCTACAGACCTGCTAGTAACAGAAGATGAAATAGTGAAGATAGCTCAGAATATCGAGATGTCGCTCTACAAGTTGTATCCTGATTGCGGGAGTCGCTACAAGGCTAAGTGCAAAGCCATCTGCTTCAACATCAGTGATTCTAAAAATGTGGTACGTATGCTTGTGTTTTGAATTGTTTTGTCTTATCTGAAAATTGCTTTTACGGAATTTTATGTAACCATGATATAAGATTAATTTGTTCAATGTTACCTAATCTTATTGAGTGATGGTGGGAACCCGATGCAAATATTACTTCGTTATTACCCTAGTAATAACTCCATATTTTTCAGAATTTGTATCGCAACATTTTGAGTGGCACGCTCTCCTCTGAGAAACTAGCCAAGATGACACCTGAAGAAATGAGTGTTCGAGTCAAAGCCAAACAGCTGCAGGTTATTTAAAGTTTTCAAATTCACTGAATTGATACGCAGGTGTTATAACAAATTATTATTAATTTCTAGTTGTAATAATTCCAGTTTTAATAATAAATGTACCATTAATTAATTGTAACTAACATATTAATTGTAATTAACAGGTAAACCCGGCATCCTCTACAGCTCCTCTTGACTCCTCTGTAAACATCATGGACATGTTAGGTAAACATTTTAAATCAAATTTACGAGGCTGCAAACAAAAAGTATTAATATTGGCATATCATATTACATAATATGTCTGAAACTTGTCGACTTCACTGCATTTGCTTGTGGTCTTTAAGGTCAAATTACTATCGGTGCTCATGCTCCCTTGTTGTTGTGAATAAATTTAAATTTATATATTTGACATGAATTAGTCTGGGTAGTCACGACAATGTGTGGAATTTCAAACTAGTAGCTGTCCAGACGACACACATCTTCTCAAATTCTCTCTAGCAGTGTAGCCCCAAAACAAAAATAGAAATCATCCATCTGAAATTTAAAAGGAAGGAACCAAAGAAACAAATTGTTCATCTCCCACTATAAAGACACGCTTTTTCAGGTGACACGACCGCGCAGCACGGCACCCACGTGTTTGATGTCAAGTGTAGGAAGTGCACTGGCAAAGTCGCTAAACAGAAGGAACCCAAACCTGCCCCTAAACCCAATCCTGAGGCTGACCCGTAAGTTATTTTGTTGAATTTATTACTTTATTAATCTTATTTTTTGTTGTCCCATTTGAATCGAATGAGGATGTTAAAACACACAATTTTATCATTCTTAAATTTGGCAATATCAACCATATGACCATCAGTATTCCCTGCAGATATGCAGCACCAGTTCCCGACAGACTAGCCTTGAGTGCCAAACCTCTCAAGGACCCCCTGGGCCTGAACCCCGCGCTTTGGAAAGGCTACATCACCATGACGTCACTGACCAAGTTCGCTACTTCCGGGTACCACGTGTATGGTCCGCACGAGTCCTTGTTGTCAACGTTACCGGACACATTGCACGTGCAGGGTAGGATCGCTAACAACATCGTGTGGGCCTACGTGGACAGACTCCGGAACAGTCCTGTGAAGGTCCGTTACTTATACACTATACTGTATACAGTTGTTTTAATTTAATGGGGTGATGTGTAAATTTAACTTGCATTACCGTTCTCTTTTATAGCTTTAGCTTTAATATGCCGAGTCTTTATGTGTGTATAACTTTTGAACGATTTTCAATTTGTAAATCAATGCAACCAACAAGACATGTTTATCATTATCATAATTCCATATGTTTTCAGGAGCTGATAATATTGAAGTTTGAGAGTCAGAACGGAGAGGAGGTACAGGGATATAGTAATCTCTTCCACTACCTTCATACCAGAACCAGGTAACTTTCTGGTGGCATCTTATTCTTCTCATAGTGGCATATTACTTTGTGAGAAAGATCCTATATATACTAGTGTTCTCCCTGTTTATATTTTGGCCAATCTGTCCTTTAGTCTTTAGCTTTCTTTTCAATCCGTTCCGTCCAGTAACTTGTGATATTTCAAATTCCAAGCGTACAGGTTAACAGTCCTGGATTTTACATTTCTTATATATAAATGCCTGGAAATCACCAAATTGTCACTTTAAAGGTGTTAATTTAAGAAGATAAACGTATTTTAAAACTTTAACCAGCTGTATCTGCCCAGTGCCCCCCTCTCACTCTCCCTTCTCCCAGGTGTGGAGTGATTGGTAACGTGACAGCTCCTGTAAGAGACATGTACCTTGTCCCTCTCTCCGCTGAGGGCTCTATCCCCCCTCAACTCAGACTGCTTGGCGTCTCCAGTACGTTCTCATATCAGCTTTTAAACTTAAGCATTCCTCTGCACTAAAATTTGAAAGTTGTAACTGTACCATGGTCCATGACGCATATCATTATGTATGTGTATTGTGTATTGTGGCTGAATTGAGTAGGCTCAGAGCTGAGAGCTGTTCCATAATATAACATTCCTTTAGGTATCCCGAAGAAGAACCGGACCAACCTGATCTTAGGTCTGATCGTGGTGAATAAGGTGGGAGCTAAGCGACCCCGAGAACTCCAGGTGGAGCCCCTGGACTCGGACAAGGAACCACCTCCCTCCTCACGGGACTCTGACACACCCGGGACCCTAGAGCACCTCTCCTCCTTCCCCACAGACGTGTCCCTACCCTTCAACCTGGGTGGTATTAGTGGTGGTGGAGGTGATGCAGCCGAGGAGGATGATGGTGCTAGCGATGATGACGGTATAAATGATATTGACTTGATTTTACGAAACAACCTCCCTATGCGGAGGAACTATAAGACAATAGACGGAGCCGCGCACTGCAGAGCAACCATGTTCGACGAGGACGACTTCACCCTACCGGACACCAAACCAGTTGTCGTGCCCACCACACTCCCGTCAGATATGATGTTTCCTCCAGCTACTGATAACGCTCCTTACAATGCCATGGTGGACGGTAAACCAATCCTATCTCCCCTGACCCCTCTAGCACCGCCTTCTCTAAGTTTCCATCCAGATGAGGGAGCTCCACTTTCAGTTCCACCTGTTTATAACACTGACTACTCACCTGTTTCTCCGGGCACCAAACATGCTTTCCTCAACCCTCCTCCTAATTCTAACAACTCAGCACAGTTTGATAACTTCAACAATCCTGCAGCACCCACCCCTTACACCAACCCTCCCAGCAACTTCAGTAGTCACTCATCAAGCACTAACTATTACCCCACAAAGTTCAGTTACCCGGGGCCTCACACTCCTGCTACTCCTCAAACTCCTCAATCAGTCTATCCCTCTATTCAGGAACCCCCTCTTAACAAACTCGATCATCAGAAACTCTCTTTCTCCGACATGAAAATGGGTTCCTCACAGAATGATATGAGAATGGTTCAACCCAACCAGCCAGCCTCGAACATGATGGTTCCGTCTCCGATCCAGAGTCAAGTGAGTCCTGGAATAGTGAGCAACATGAACCCACCTGTAAATAATTCTCCGAACAGCCTTGTAAATACCAACAGCGTTAAAAACAGTAATGTATATACATTGGTACAGACGAATGTTCAAACTTGTGTACAGAGAACAGAAATTCAACAGCAGCAAATTCAACAGCATCAGCAAATTCAGCAACAGCAACAACTTCAGCAGCAGCAGCAGCAGCAGCAGCAGCAACAACAACAACAACAACAACAACAACAACAACAACAACAACAACAACAACAACAACAACAACAACAACAGCAGCAACAACAACAGCAGCAACAACAACAGCAGCAGCAGCAACAACAACAACAACAGCAGCAGCAGCAGCAACAACAACAACAACAACAGCTTCAGCAACAACAGCAACAGTTTCAGCAGCAGCAAAACGGCATGCTTTCCCACCGTCAGATTTTACCCCAGCAGAATGGTATGTGTCAGCAGCAGGCTCCAATGTTACGGCAGCAGCATCCAACTACTCGACAACAAAGTCCGATGTCGGGACAGCAGAACTTCATGGCATTGCAGCAGAGCCAGGCTCTTCAGCAGAAGACAATAAAGCAGCAGCAGCAGAATATGAAGAAGTCCTCACTGCATCAAGTTCAGCCTAATTTCATACCATCTCACCCGAACCTAGTCCCAAATCAACAAGCAAAGCTCATGGCTCAGCACCCACCAAATTCTCCTCAAAATCAAATGTTGAAAACCATGCAAACAGTGCCTCCTCCTAATCAAATGAGAAGCCCACAGTCTCCGCACATGCCCCAGGGCATGGCTCAGTACGCCCAGATGCCAAAACAAGCACCTAGACTGCAGTATCCAGGTCAACAACCCCAGAGACACTGTAACACAACCCGCCAGATACTACCTGCACCTCAGGGACATCAGAGACAGAGGATGTTATTGCCGCGTCAGCTGTCACCTCTTCCCCCAAACCAGGAGCCAGGAGATCAGTCGCAGTACAACCCGATCGTCGGTCAAAATCCGGGACAGATCAACCAAATCATGGCATCCAGTAAAGTCATGACTCAAAATCAGAGTCAGATCATGGTTAAAAATCAGAGTCAAGTTATGACTCAAAACCAAAACCAGGTCCTTACTCACAATCAAATGGTCTCACCAGGATTCCGCATGATGTCCAACCAGCAGATGACCAAAGTGCAGTCAGTGCAGCAAGCAGCCCCTAACCAGCCTATGCAACTGGCCCAGCCTCCCCGACCCCAGATAAAGGGTGGAGCCCGGCCCCAGGTAGTCCAGAACATCCTGGCTATCCGAGCCCAGCGTTTGGCAGCCCAGCAGCAGGCTCTTCTCAGGCAGACTGGCAGCCCAGTAAAGGGTAACGTGCCCATATCATCAGTTCAGGGTGGACAGAATATATACCTGGCTCAGCAACCTCACACCTTTATGGTAACGGACAACCGGCAGCCAGTGGCAGTGAGTCAGCAGCTTAGAATGTCGCAGCCCGGGTTCGGAAATGGACCCATGATTTATCCGACTCCGAACGGTTTAGTTCAGCAAGATTTCGCCAGGTCTCCGAGCAAATCAGCTAAAACCACTGCCAAACGCAGCTCGGTGAAACAGAAACTTAAGTCGAAGATTTCAAATAAAGGACTAGCTCCGAAAGTGAAAAAAGCGCCCAAAATGTTTGACGGGGACTCATTACTAGCCCAGTTGGAAGATGTTACGTAGTGACTCGTGTGATTGTCACATGGGATGATTCGGGAAAGTCACGCGTGAGGGCTAACGCGATTTTGTATGAATTATAACATTACAGTGATATGTAGGTGCAAGAGTTAGCACGTTTGTGGGGTTTTATAAATAGCGATATCTCTACTCCTTCGCAAAGTTATTTTATAAATAGCGATCTCTCTTTTTCTATCTACCTCTGCAGTGTGCGGGCCGCTTTACAGACAAGACCTTATTTAATTAGCTAATTAATTGTTTAAATATTAATGAAGTATATAATTAAATGAATTAATTGATGAATATTTCCAGTATATATGATAATTGTACACAGATTTGTTGTAATTGTGAATTTTTACAGGTTCTCTAGATTGAAGAATGTACCGCTAACTGTGTGAACTTGAAAACGATATTTTTTATTATTTTTACAAAACCGTATTTTAAAATCGAGATCTGGGCCGTTTGTGGCTGAATGGACAATAATATCTCTGGTGTGTCAATTTATGCGACGAAATTGTTCCTTTTTATACATGTAATTCTTCGGTTGAATCCCCGGTCTGAGCAGATCTTTAATTTCTGTTGACCACTCAATTAGCTAATTGGTCGGTTGTTTGTCCTATTAGCGCTTTCACAGTTCTACCAGTCATATCAGTTTTGTCCTCAATTTTCCGCCACAATCTGCCCAAAGTAATCAAAATAAAAGTTGTTTTACAATTTTATTTTATTTACCCTCTATTTGACATTTATTTTAATTAAGTGTACGATCTCTACCAAACCTAGGCACATTCCTAACTTATAATAATATTTAAGCTTCAATGCTTCTTATCTTTTATGCGGGACCGTTATGATTTCTAAGTTAATTATATATGTTAGCATCTATTTTAGCACTACAAGGGTTAAACTTAAAGTGTTATATTTAAGTAGATGGGGTGGGCTCTGTCCAAACTGACTGATCCAGTACACTTGGTTACCCTGGTTACATCTTCATGGCATCTGCCATCTTCATTGTAATATCCCGATGATATTTGTGACCGAATGTCTGCTCTACACCGGACCAAATATTTCTACTCAGATTTTAAATATTTTGAGTATTTCAGGAGATGTAAATTGAACACGAAGGCTTGTTAATATGTTATAATTATAAACCAAAGCCGCGCAAAATTAACATGGTAATTTTTTGTACGAAATGCTACGATCTGTAATAGCTTTAAAAAAGATTATAGATCCGTTCAGTAACGAATGGCACATGAATTCGGATTAGCGACAAGTGCTTATTTTGGTCAGTCAGTTACCACAAACGAGGAGCAAATGGTATCCCCAATATTTTGTAGTTAATTTATTGACATGTCACCGTGTCCTCATTTCTTATTTGAATTTATATATCTATATACAAGGTGTTTCACTTTTCCTCATGTAAAATGAAACTACCCTATTCAATTTCAAAGAGTTATCGATTGCAATCTCAATTCACAATCAATGTAGTTATCAGTCCAACGGGTTTTTAAAGGCTGACGGTGCCTGCCAGCACCGGGATAAGTATTCAGGAGTAGATGCTTTCGAGCGTGCTAAATCACTCTACAGTCGATCTTCAAGATTGTTCTAAAAGGGCCCCCGACAGTTGAAACTAGCTCGAATAGATGTATTTTCGGACGCTGATTCAGAATCACCCCCATGACATAGGGTTAAAATGCTCCCCTGCCGAGATATTGGCGAAAAACTGTCTTGATCACGTGATATGACCGTATAAGGGAGTTGGTCAAAAATCTCGTTAGGGTTAGGATTTCAGCAAATGCTTTTGTTAGGGATTGGGTGAGGGGTTAGGGTTGGGATAAGACTAGATAAGAGGGTTAGGGTTTCGAATAGTCTTTCAGGGCCAGCTAGAGAACGGGTTGAAAAAGTCACGTGACAGTCGAGTGTAGAGTGATTAATCATCATCCAGATCACAGATGCTTTATATGCCTCTCGATTGTAGTCCATAGCTATATCATATATTAAAACCACAAATTTTCTGATTTAGATTTAGTAATCTCTGTTATTGGGCGATTTGATTCACGATGTCAATCCTTCGCAGCTCGGTGAGGCACAGTGGTGCATCTCGCCGATCTGCGAGAAGGATTATTTGGTGCGCGGCGCGACCCAGTAGTGCATCGCGCTACAATTGGGCGATCCGTTGGATTGTGAAGTTCATTTCTGATTCCTATTAATGATTAATAGGTCAATATTTTGCATTAGGTTACTTTGGAATTTAAAAATCGTTCACTTAACATTTTTGCAAAATTGCGAATCTCAAAAATGGTGAGCTGGAGGCCAGTCTTATAGGTTCTAATCGGACCTATCAGAGCTACTTCGGCTATTGAGTTATGTCCATGATTAAAGGGTAAAACTGGATCTGGAGGAGTAATTTTATGGCCTAAAAAAATAATTTTTCCGGTATTTAGTCGAGCATGCTAGTTGACAATTGTTAATGGTTTGGCCCGGCGCGCTACTTCGTAGCACATTTCGAGAAGAAAGCCGCGCGCGCTACTTCGAAGAAATGTATACAAGTAACATCCGTCAAGCATGCTAGGTAAGTTATGAATTTAGAACATGCATCCAATAAACATTTCTAAGCGAATTTTATATATAAGCTCTACTATAATCTTACGAAGATTTAATAACGCGCAAAAAGTATTATATATACTTTGTGTTGCCCTGCGCGCGCTCAAGAAATCTATAATTAACGGGTGATACCAGATACCGTATTACTCGTAAAATATTTGTTCCAAATTGTTAAACATAACTGATAACATAATGCCTTATGTTAATCAAAAAGCTTATCACTAACGCTCCCACTTAATCGCGCTTGCATGAGTTTGACCATTGTTAATGATCCGGCCCGGCGCGCGCTACTTCGTAGCACTTGCCATCGGGCCATTTCGAGAAGAAAGCGGCGCACGCTACTTCGAAGAAATTTAGACGAGTAACATCCGTCAAGCATGAGTTTGTTTATCTCCTTGCTGTCGTCAAGCCCCGTGTCCCTCCGAAGGATGTCAATATATGTAAGGTGTGGTCTTCACTAAAGTATTAAGTAAGTGCTGTACCCCTAAAATCTGTATCTGTTTAATTAAATTAGAAGGATATTGTGGTCACGAAAAAACGTACAAATGTGAAGAAAACAACACCATATATAATAATAGGGTTTGTAAAGCTTGTGTGGTAGAATGACTTTTCATATTGTACCATCGATCCTTGTAGTGTAATAGCAGATGTGCTTTTTTGGATAGCAGAAGTGCTTGTTTGGATCTCCATCAGGTCTTCCACCATTCGAAATACAACCTAGCCTGGCTTTCTTCTAAAAATAAATGATGATGCCCTGGGTTTATTATGCTACATACATAGTTGAAAAGTTAATGTGTTGCACAGTCGGTATACTCAATACTATCTTGTTAGTAGGGTGGGGCCTTTCGTTATGTCGCTGTAATTCCACTGTGCTAGGAATTAGTGACACAATACACTGCTTTTTGCATGACTTACTTTATTGTTGTGTTTCTGAATTGCATACGATTAGATAGCTTTGTTGTTTTAAAGCATATTTAAACATTGTATTCTCAGTCAGATAACATGTTTGAAGAAGTTGGTAGTAGTTCTTCAGTAGCGGAACTGAAAAGTGAACTAGAGCATGAACTTCAGAACTTGTTAGACCCTCCCAATTCAATGGATTGTAACTTTGAGGGAAGATCAGCAACAGATCAACCATCGCCAGAGAGTTGTGGTCTTTGCAACTTTTCGTCATTTCTCATTGTTAATCTAACAGAACACTACAAAGATATCCACAATCTTCAGTTTTGTGTTATCTGCAACATGGATTGTATCAGCAAGTCTCACCTTTATACACACATGAAAGCTTCTCACAAAGATCTGTTTGCAGGCAGAACAGAGCCGCTTTCAAATTCAATTTCAAAACATAGAGAAAAAATGGGATATACTTTTTTACGTGACCCCAAGCCCTGCTACATTTGTAACTATTGTGACAAGAAGGTTACAAAAAGAACACACATGGTTACTCATGTGCGTGTTCATACCGGTGAACAGCCTTATGAATGCACTGAATGTGATTTCAAAACTGCATACAAGCAGTCAATTCAGAGACATAGAGATGAATATCATTTGAACTTGCCAATCCCTCGACCATTTTCTTGCAGTAAATGCGAAAAATCATTCCAAAAAAAGTCTCGTCTTCTGCAGCATGAGCTTGTCCACGATAATTCAAAACTGTTCACATGTGACCAATGTAGCTACTCATCTAACAGAAAACAAAATCTCCAAGGACATATGCTGGACAAACACAGTAATTTTTCTGAAGAACTTCTGAAGCCTCATGCATGTGAAGTATGTGGGTTTCGGTTTAAAACTAGCTCCCATCTCCTCAGACACATGAAAGTTCACAAAAAGGATGTTATCAAGCCATATAATTACAAGTGTGAATTTTGTGGTACAAATTTTACTGAGAGGTACAATCTAAAGGTCCACATCGATAACAAACACGAAAATACACCCCCTAAGCATATATGCAGTGTTTGCAATAAAGGTTTCCGTAGTAAAAGTGACTTAAATGCTCATTCGTTGACACACCAATCAAATCCAGTTCTACATCAATGTCCAGAGTGTGATTTTGAGTCAAAACATGTCAGGTCAGTTGAAAGACATTATAAGTTGAAGCATTCTACTTACATCACTGATACTAGGTTTGTGTGTGAGGTTTGTGGTAAAGATTTTCAAGCCAAAAAGAAGTTGGAAAGACACAGTTATGTTCACATGGACTACTCTTGTAGACCAAATGCATGTTCAAAGTGCACTTATAGATGCATTTGCAAAGGTGACATGGAGCGGCACATTAAGAAAGTGCATGGCTCCCCAACGACAGAATCAAAACAGATAACAAGAAGTAACTGCAGGAAAACATCATGATATTGTTGTGTTTAGCATTTGATTCACAGGCATGAATTTTATAATATTTAAACTTACTTAACTTTCATTTGGTTATGTTTGACATCTTCAGAATTTTTGTCAGTTAGCTTGCATCACAAGTTAACTGATATTATCTATGTTTTTTATATTTTTGGAAATATTTACTTTTTTCACGTTTTACGGTACCGTTTAATCGATTTATCAGATAATTTATGAATCTATCATAAATATTTTGATGTGACTTAATGATTAAATTTTAAGTCTATGTTTGAAAGTGTCTCATAATCAGACATCATATATTATCATGTTTACAAGATGAAGAATAATCAGTTAAAGATAAATATTTTCAAAAACTTCAAGAACAAGAGCATATTATGATCTTGCTTTCTACTGCTTTTGTACTTCTAAACGTAGAATTTTGTAGCAGTCATGGCAGAGAGTAGCCATGTCAATGGTAACGGGGCTGCAGCTGTGGACCCAGCAGTCGAGGACACCTCAACTGACTGTGCTGATATTGACAGTGTTTGTGCTACTATTGGTAAGCAGACTTTTAACATTTTGGCAAGCATTGATTATTTTTATATTCTGTTGAAGCTGTATCGCAATTATCATATTTGAAAGGAAATTGATCATCGTAATAATTTTAAAATGGCACTTAATTGCACATGTGAACAATTAATATCCAAATGATATCTTTGGCACTTTGCCATTTAAACTACTAACTAGGTGTCAACTTGTATGTTGATTTTTCACAGTGAAATATGCTTCACAAAAGTAGGCATAATCTCCTGACTCTAATTTCTTCGCACATTTAGTTGTGTCTAACTATCAAACAATTATATATCGTAAAGAGGTAAAATGTTAAAACAAGCTCTTCTCCTTAACCAGGAAGTGTTGAATCCAGCAGTTGTTCCTCCAACGGGTCCGACAGTGGAGTAACAGAGCACAGTGACGCGGGCACTGAGAACGGGGACACTCGAGACACTGAAGAAGAGCAGCCCACACAGAGTAGTCCTGTTAATGAGTCAACTCCTTCATCAACCACTTCGTCTTCTAGTGAGTCACGTAAGTAGCACAGTGGGAGTGATGTGTGATAAAATCACATCCTTCTGCTAGCTGATCATAGCGTGAGTGTGGCGGAGTGTGGTGGGATCATTCTCAGTGTACATACCACAATATGCATATTATATGTTATGTTCCATGTTATTGCCATAAGTTATCTGCTATCTCCACTCTCAGTATATTGTAGCATTTCCTTTGACCTCTATTCATATAACTGATAAATTGCTCAAATCCTGCACTAAACTTTAATAACACCAACTTTAGCTCAATAAGGTGCAATGTTTTGAGGTACACAATATTTTGAGGTACCCTCTCTAATATTCTGAACTATCAGGTACTCCTAAAGCGGGAGAAAAGAGGAAACGTGAAGCTAAGGACAAACCTTGGACCTCACTCAGAGAACTTAGTCCCTCCGCTCGCAGAATTCAGAAGGTTTCTATTCTTTAAACGGGTTAAACTGGTCTACTTCTGTTATTTAGGTAATTTCCGTTGCTATGATGGTTGTACTGCAATAGAAGACAGCTAGTTCAAGGGGGCTATATTTATGAGTCGCATTTGAACTTGATTTCTCTTGGAGAATTTCTCTTTAGACTCTTAACTTGCGAACAAATTGAAGCAGCAAACTTTAGGCTAGAAACTTTATTGAATTGAAATAATCATTCCACGTAACAACGTCTTCTTCAGTTCTGTAATAAAATTGTTAAACATGTGTAAAAATTAACGACGGAAAGAAATTTAAAATAACATTAAAACAAAAACAGAGAATTAAAATTTTCGAAATATGACCCAAAAAATGTAATTGCAAAAAATGTCAAAACAACAAAAAATACGACAAGAAGAAATGTAAGCTAATACAACTAAATACTGTACTACTCAAGATACTAAACTAATTAGTAAACGTAAAGCTGGTTGTTCAGAATTCACAGTTCATGTGTAAAAACTAATGATAAAATCAGCACTTAAGCAACGATAACTCGGTTGTCATGGTTACTATCCAAGATAGTCCTATCAATACATTATTTACTAGTTAAACATCGACTAAATATTTGTACAAATAACTCAACTCAGAACGATCATTCATTTCAGGACTTAATCTCAATATATACATCGCTTCTACAATCTTTCTACGAACAGTTTTACTCTGTAAATCAAGTAACTTAAAAGATAAAACTGGGGTTCGGTTAGGATGTAGAGATGCGTAGTGCTGTCCAACCCCATTCTCTGGATGTGCTCTAGGATTCCTAGCAGCCTGTCTGTGCTCCATCAGACGAGCATGGAGGCTTCTCTCAGTTTCCCCACAGTATCTCTTACCACATAACTCGCAAGTAACTAAGTAAATAGCTCCTTTTGTTGAGCATATCTGCCCTAGACTCACAGGAACAACATGCTAGCATGTTGTTCCTGTGAGTCTAGGGCAGATCTCACAATTGTTAGGGTTACCAAGGTCACAAGTCTTCTTATCCAGTGGACGAGAGCGGCAGAAGATGTCCTGTAACTTCTTACCAGGTGTAGTCCTCCTCCTCACACCACTATCGTGGATCCATCCACCCCTACATCACGAGTTACTGTTATTGATTGCAATCCTGAGGAACCACTGAACGTTACGGAGGCCGAGCTGGACATCTTATCACTCGGTCCAAAATTCGCATTACCTCGGAAAGTGGATGAATCGTTGATAAAAGAGGTTGAAGTGAACTTGACTGAATGTGCGTATAAGTGCAGATGGAAACGTAATAACGAATCCAACGAACCTAACGAAGCTCTGAACCCAGGACAGTTAGATTCTTTGTACAGGCAAGCACGCAAGAAGAAATGCCCGTTTCAACGACCCTACATCCCTGCACCACCGAACGAAGATCCACAACTCGAGATGGACTTGAAATTGTTCAACCGGTTTATGATGAGCATCCTGAGAGCACCAGATATCCAGCCACCATCAAACCTCACCTTTAATCAGCGAACTGGACTACGTACTCTCAAGGAAAGACCGAACATTCACATCTCGAAGTCTGATAAGTGTGGCGAGTTTGTCGTGACTAGTGTTGATACGTACCGGACGCTAACGATCGAACACCTGAACAAGAGCACTTCTGGAGTCTACGAATGGGTAGAGCCCACCCGTTCGAGTTACGGAGTACGCAGACCTGTTCAACGACCTACTCCTATAACGTATCAGAATCAAATTAACAAGAAATGTGCAGATATTGAATCAGAGTGTAATAGGTTGTGGCGGACTATTTGCAGTAACCATATGGAATTAGACTCACGTATTGAGGATTTATTTATTAGCTCGTACTCTACATTACCTACTATGTACACCCTGGTGAAGACACACAAGTTCCCACCTGATACTGACTACTCTCGTATCAACTTGGCGGATATGAAAGTTAGACCAATCGTATCGTGTTGTGGCTCACCTACAGAGAAGTTGGCTTGGTTAGTTACCGACATTATCAGTCCTTTGTTGAGAGAAGTACCTTCTCATATGTACGATATCTACAGCCACCTGGACATCCTCTGTAGGCTACCAGAGAGTGAACTTAAAGGTTTACAGTTCTTTACAGCGGATGTATCAGCTTTGTATACGAATTTGAATATCAATGAGTGTATTGAGACAGTTATTGAATTTGCAGAAGAACATTGGAGTAAGTTAAGTACGTATTGTTTAAGTTTATCAGAAATTAGAGGTATCTTTACAGTAGTTTTGACGAATTCTTATTTTACATTTAATGGGAGACTTTTTAAACAACTTTTAGGTTTATTCATGGGTTGTAGACCATCCCCTCCTGTAGCGATTATTAGAATGTGGAAATTCGAGCGTAATAGTATATATTTAGACAGTTATTACATCAGTAACCCTGTTCGGTTCTTATACAAACGGTATGTAGATGATGCTGGTTCCTTAGCCAAATCCAGAGAAGAAGCACTGGATATGTTACAACGCATAGCCGACCAGGATCCCGATAACAGAATCAAGTGGGAGATCGAGTTCCCGTCTACCCCTGCGGATTTTGTCCCGTTCCTGAGTACGGAAATCCGGATCGATGAAGAAGGAAAAGTGCACCACAGATTCTACAGGAAAACCCAGAACAAGGGGATAACATTACACCAGAAGTCACACCACCCGGACTCAGTGAAGGAGGAGTGTAAGAAGAACTTCTACCGTAATGCCACCATTGCTTCCTCAGGACCCCAGGAACTCGATCATTCAGTTAAGATCATCGATAATCTCTTAAAGAAAAATGGACACCAACCTCTGAGTCATAACGCAAGGAACAGGAGGACTAGGAGAAGACGTCAAACCACACCTGACTCTGTCCCACTCACCTTACCATTCATCTCTGGAACAGTTTGTAACAAGATTCGCAACTACATCAAATCTAACAAACTCCCCATCAGAGTTATTTTTACACCTGGTAAGAAGTTACAGGACATCTTCTGCCGCTCTCGTCCACTGGATAAGAAGACTTGTGACCTTGGTAACCCTAACAATTGTGAGATCTGCCCTAGACTCACAGGAACAACATGCTCAACAAAAGGAGCTATTTACTTAGTTACTTGCGAGTTATGTGGTAAGAGATACTGTGGGGAAACTGAGAGAAGCCTCCATGCTCGTCTGATGGAGCACAGACAGGCTGCTAGGAATCCTAGAGCACATCCAGAGAATGGGGTTGGACAGCACTACGCATCTCTACATCCTAACCGAACCCCAGTTTTATCTTTTAAGTTACTTGATTTACAGAGTAAAACTGTTCGTAGAAAGATTGTAGAAGCGATGTATATATTGAGATTAAGTCCTGAAATGAATGATCGTTCTGAGTTGAGTTATTTGTACAAATATTTAGTCGATGTTTAACTAGTAAATAATGTATTGATAGGACTATCTTGGATAGTAACCATGACAACCGAGTTATCGTTGCTTAAGTGCTGATTTTATCATTAGTTTTTACACATGAACTGTGAATTCTGAACAACCAGCTTTACGTTTACTAATTAGTTTAGTATCTTGAGTAGTACAGTATTTAGTTGTATTAGCTTACATTTCTTCTTGTCGTATTTTTTGTTGTTTTGACATTTTTTGCAATTACATTTTTTGGGTCATATTTCGAAAATTTTAATTCTCTGTTTTTGTTTTAATGTTATTTTAAATTTCTTTCCGTCGTTAATTTTTACACATGTTTAACAATTTTATTACAGAACTGAAGAAGACGTTGTTACGTGGAATGATTATTTCAATTCAATAAAGTTTCTAGCCTAAAGTTTGCTGCTTCAATTTGTTCGCAAGTTAAGAGTCTAAAGAGAAATTCTCCAAGAGAAATCAAGAAGACAGCTAGATGAAGAATAATGGCACGTGCCAAGTCTCCGTCGTTTAGTAAAGTACATTATCCGCCACATAAAGTACATTATCCGCCACATAAAGTACATTATCCGCCACATAAAGTACATTATCCGCCACATAAAGTACATTATCCGCCACATAAAGTACATTATCCGCCACATAAAGTACATTATCCGCCACATAAAGTACATTGTCCGCCACATAAAGTACATTATCCGCCACATAAAGTACATTATCCGCCACATAAAGTACATTATCCGCCTCATAAAGTACATTATCCGCCACATAAAGTACATTATCCGCCACATAAAGTACATTACCCGCCACATAAAGTACATTTTAAGAGCACAGCTCAGTGTATTACATGTTATTACGTGTGTGAGCTCTAGAAGGGTAATAATAAACGTTACTCAGATATTATATAAAGACTCGTGTAACTGTAACGAGAGTGTACTAAAGTCGGATAAAGCACGTGACAATATAACTGTAATAGAATTGGTTCATTTACAAGTGGTGTTATAACGGTGGTGTGTTGTTAGAATGTTGGTTTTAGTGATAATTGGGTTATATGTGTGCATTATTATGGTTCTTGTTAAATCAATTAGATGTAACCTGAGTAAACTGAGTTTATACTGAGCGATGCTAGCTCAGCTCTATAATTGTGATGATAACAGTAAATGAGCACAGCTTCATAAACCCTTTAAATCTCTATATTATATGTGGTGTAAAGTAATTAGTATATTGTACGATACAAAGTATACTACAGTAAGTAAGGATTGAGAAGTGGGTGTAGTTTGACAAAATTAAAACTATTTCCATATTGTTGATGAAAAGTGTCCTCCTCCCTTTGGCTGAGTTATGCAATATTATGCCTACAGAGTCATGTTACATATTTTATACATATTCTCAGATACGACCCACATGTTTTTCATTCCACAGCATGTTATTCACCATTCACCCAACAAATATTAAGATATTACAAATATTACAAATATGTTACGATACTACAGATATTACAAATGTTGAGATATTACAGGTTTTACAAATATGTTAAAATACTACATTTTCAGGAATTAGCTGACATAATGATGGATCCACCTCCCAACTGCAGCGCTGGACCCAAGGTTTATAATAACTTATAATGTAATACCTGTAATAACCAATCATTTGGTACAGGTTATATGTACCATAATACATATTGTAGTAGCTAATGGTGTAATGCATGGGATAACTGTAATGATTTGAGGTTATAACGTAAAACAAACTCACAAACCAAGTCAGGTTATGATATGCTCTAGAAATTACAAGAACATACCACCTTATCTAATAAAATGAGTGCCTAACTTTAAAATGCATCAGATCTGACTGGGCGTCATATCTGGGAGTGACACTGACAGTATCACTTAAATTAAACTAAGCTGTTAAACTTAATTCATCGTATTTGTGAGCTGGTAGAAATCGAGTAATTTCTTAAAAGCGTCTTGCTCCACGGATATTAATCCGAATTTCGTTGGCGACGCGAAATAACACATCTCCTACGTAGATATTTAAATTATTGGTACCAAGAAATATGTTTAAATGATGTCCTGATCTTGGGCTTGACAGTTGCTTCCATTTCATGAAGTTGTAATAAACTTAAGTGGTCATATTTATCATTGTGACGGAGAAGTTTACTGGATTTAAATTATGTTGCACTCAATAAATCGTATTCAATCTTGAGATTCATTTCACTCAAACAGTATAAAATATTGCTGCAACTGCAATGAGCTTTTAAAAGGGATGTAAAGCATGAATTACCCAGCTAGATTGAATCAACAGTAGTCAGGCAGTACATTACGTGGAACTTCTGGGTGGTGTGGGAATTGAATTTTAAACCCACGACTTCCCAATAACCGGTCAAACTAATTTATTGATATAATTACCAAATATAATGACCAATCTGTTATTATATCACGTGACAAATTGACCAAATATGGTAATAATATTAAAATGTCACAGGGAGACAACTTGTTTGAATGGAACAGCACGATCCTAGGACCACCTGGTTCAGTGTACGAAGGTGGGGTGTTTATCTTAGACATACACTTCAGTCCTGAATACCCCTTCAAGCCACCCCGTGTAACCTTCAAAACTAGGATATACCACTGCAACATCAACAGGTATGTCAGATCTAAATCTACTGGCCTATTTTTAGCTTTGGGAGGTTGTTTAAGATTTTGTATGTCATCCGCGCAACCTAACTGCCAGTTATTTAGCCGCGGGCTGCTTATACTTTCTGTGTCAAGTAATCATTATTTACTGTTTTAGTGTATTAGAATCATGGTGGTAAGTACATGACTCAGAGATTAATAAACTAAATGTACGTTTATTGTAAAACAAAATATTGGAACTTTTCATGTTTGAGTGCAAGTGCCCATTGTTATTGTTCATAATAATAATATAACAAGCCCCCTTGGAAGTATGAGGATAGCTCTTTTAATCATCTATTTATAGATTTGCTAACAATGTAAATTTACTGACAACCAGTATGCTGTGAACTAACTCATTGTTGTTGACTGTGACACTGTGTACTGTGTAGACAGTGTACTGTGTACTGTTTAGAAACCTCAATCAATCCTTCTCTTTTAATCGTCTAAGTTCTTCCTACAGTACTGCAAATTGGGCTTTTGCTAATTTATGTAGGTACATTTTAAATGCTGAATACAAAGAGTAAGTTATGGTGTTAAATTGAATTGCTAATTTGTGTTTCTTAGTTTTCACATATAATACTTACATTCACATTTAAAAGACAATTAAGACCACAAACTGCAGCCTGATGAGTTACATTCAAAAACATACCTGTACCACATCAAAATAGTCATATTCAATCTAGACCACTTGAACATTTTTAGACATTTGATGTACAACACAAGGTATTTCATGACATATTGTCTTCGTACAGTCATCATGAACACTCTCTAAAACTCATTGTTCCTCATGCAGCATCTCATGCTTGGCTGAGATTTTGCCGTGTTATTGGACCCAACATATACAACAATCTACCACCAACAGTTAAAATGTACGGTATAATGTTTAAAGTTGGTTTAAAGACATACTTGTTCAATATGTCACAGTATGATTTGGAGAAGTTCTAATTTTAGGATATAATATATAATTTACTAAACACCATTTATTATTGTCAGGTCCATAGTGTACATAGTGTACATAGTGTCTATAATATAGTGTCGATATATTATAGAAGTTTTAAAGATCGTAACTTCACGACATCATGACATGTATTGCACAACATAATAACATGTCTAGTAGTATGTCTACTGTCTCCTTTCTCTGAATACTATCTATAGTATCAAATTACCCGTGCTAACTGCTACCTTCACTGTGTAATGAACTTTGTGTTATTCACCTGTTAAACGGGTGTGTTAGGAGGGTTTTGTAGCGGATTTTGGAAGATCACGTACAAGCTCAGTTTTGATGAGAGTCAGCTAGAGCTGACGTTGAGAATGAAATCAACAAGTCAGTAATGATCACCATCAGTATTTTTTTCAACAAGCAGATTTAATACAACCTGCTGATCGCATTTTAAAGCTGACGATATACGAAATTTGCAAATATCTATATCCGGCTATACGCTCATATACGAGCCTCAGAAGCTAGCAGATCTTTAAAAGAGTAGACGGTACGTAACACGATAAGATAACAGTTATATTTACGAATGAAAGTGAAAGTGGTAATCGATCAAGAAAACATGGTTTATCGGATTGTACTACGATTTAAGGGTGTGAAATTAACGAAGCTCATTACTGAAAATCATTTGAAATGACGTGGAAAACTATTTAACTCTCCTACAACATATATTATCTCAACTTGTAATATAATCTGATATAATCAGATATGCACGAGTTTATGCTGCCCTGAAATTTAATACTTAATTCATTATGTAATGTCTTGAACCAAGCCTTCCGAACACACCCAAAACTTCAGACATTTCCACATAGCTCGAGACAAATTTACATTTTCCGGGAGTAAGCCGCCAGACATGGACGAATGCTTTCCCTACAGTTAAGATTGGATTTGTCTCCAGATTAAGTTATGTACAATGATGTATGATAATTAGTTAATTACATGCCATGTACACTTTAAACAATACACGTTTCTCAGAGCTCATAGCATTATCGTGTTTTCCCCAAAAATACAATGGATTATTTTTAACGAAACATGTTCAACACTTGTAGCCCTTGTTACCCTTGTAACCCCTATAACTCCCACACCCTTGAACTTCTATACAAGCTTGTATAAAGTACGTCATTGTAACCTGATATCTGTGATTCTGTATCTAATACCTCACAACATACCGCTACAACGGATTATAGCTATTAGAGTTGAAGTCATTACCAGTTATAGTGCTAGTAGGATATTACTCTGAAAAGAGAGACTGGTATTAACGCTGTGTTAAAAAGAAGAGACTGTAGTTGTTACTTAACACTAAATCAGGTTAACATATGTGTGTTGTGTGTGTGTAATATGGTGAACAGTAACACCAAGGTTCAATTTTGGTTTAAGCACCGCAGATAGATCAAACTGTTACAAATAACAGTGGCCTGAAAGGAATGCACAGTAATCTTGATAACACTTTACCTGCTCACTCAGTGCTCAGTTCTCTTTATAAATCAAGAGGCTTGCATATAATGAACATATTATATTATTATATTATTATGGGGCATTGAGTTTATCCTTTGCTACAGTTTAAACTGTGGTTCTAATAGCGCAACTCCACACCCTTTACTTTCCAGTAAATATGTTTTGACAATGTCAAAATTCAAAATTGTTAATATTTAACGTCGGTAACTTTGTTTCTTATTCCATGTTTAACATTCTAAAATTGTACGTAATCATGGATTTGTAACATTTAAATTTGTAACATGTATGTACTGATATTGATCTCCCTCCATGCTTCATATCACACAGTTAATGTGTGGAATGTTTGTTTCTTCACAGTTTCATGGTTTCTGCAGAATTGAACCGCGGTTGTTATTATATCTCTCCCAAACTCCGCGGTAAATCGGTGTTTTACTCTACTATGATAATAATATTTAAATGGTGTTGTGATAATTATTAGGTATTGGATAACGTTTGATAATGAGATATGGATTCTGGTGGGGAGGCGTGTCTCTGGGATTTGATTGGTCAATAGTGGGAACTAATTGGTTTATTCTAATTGGTTTATTCTAATTGGTTTATTGCTGTCACGTGAAATAGATATGTCATCTATAATAACGATGCCTTGCAGTGCCCGCTGCGCTGTAAACTTTCTTATTGACAGCATACTTTCACCAAACTTCGTGTTTATAGAATGTAGCTGTCTGTAGACTGTAGTTAACGTACAGTTTCTATTACATAAGTACACTTAACTTTACAGTTTAGTGCAGAGCTAAAATAGTCGTGCTAGTGCAGGGAGTATCATCAAAATGTTTGAGTAACTTTAAGTAACTAAGGTAAATAACTTTATTAAGTAACTCTTTGGTAACTCTAACTCTTTTTAAGTAACTCTTTTAAGTAAGTTAAAGGAACTCTTCTCCGCATCACTGCACGCAGTGTACAGTGATAATTACAAGGGAACCCAATAAGGGGTAATTACTAATTATCTCCTTAGATAAGGACATGTTATTACATGTATAATTATATGTAATATGTTAAATGTAGGTCACCAAGGAATGCGAACCTGATTTCGTAATTAAGTTTATCAGGTAACTTCAATTATTCCTGGACTCTCGGCTGGATTGTGTGGAGTAGCTAACAGCTTTTCACCTGGTGATTTACATGAACTTATATTCTCTACAAGGCCTGCCAACAACTTGGTATGGTCAGAAGAGATGGCCATATTGTCATTGATCTGAAACGTCGCCGGGCGCTTTACCTCTCCCTAGTTCGTAGCCAATTCGAAAATTGTTCCATAATCTGGCGCCCTTGTAATAAATCACTTAGTGATAAATTAGAAAGTCTCCAAAAGAGAGCTATTAAATGGATTCTGTCTGAAGAGGGCCGCAGTTATCCACCTGAGCAATATGTCAAAAAGTGCAAGCTTGTCGACATTCTCCCTTTGTCTCAAAAGTTTGACTTGAATGATCTTATTTTTTTCCACAAAGTTCTGAACAATTTAATTCCTGTACCGCTGCCTCACTATCTCACTTTATATCAGGGCACTTCTCGACTAAGACGTTGCCACCTCGACAGTCTGTCTATTGTGTCATCAATTTTACCTAAGTTAAGTCAGAATTCACACACCTTATGTACCTCAAATAGCCCACTGGCAAAATCATTTTTCTACAGAACTCATATACTGTGGAATGGACTCCCTTTACAGGTAAGACAGATTGTGTCTACTAGTGTTTTCAAAGCTGAGGTCACTAAGCATCTATGGAAATGTTTATTGGATAGTGAAACAACAGCCTAGCCTAGTCTCTTTGCTCCCCATATTATTATTATTTTTGTTTTATTAATTTTTTATCTACCTTCCTATACTTTCAACATCATATCACACTTCACCCGCACACCTCACACATTAATGACCATATCAGACCTGTATCTAATGTATCTGGAATTTGACGTATTGAAATACCAATTTTGACTATATATCCACAGTTATTCACCATGGATTTGTTTTTTATTAAATAGTTTTTCATAAATTTTTGGATTTAGATTGATTCGATGTAATGGGTCCAAGTTACTGCGGACATAGTTCACTATGTGTTTACCGTGTTTGGGTGCCCATCATATTTTACAGATGGGGGCGATATTTTGAACGATTCTATTTTATATTCATCTATTGCTGTACTCTGTAAAATTTGAAAAGTATTTAATTAAAAAAAATGTACAGTTGCTGCGTGAGATATTCGTGATTTTCGCAATTTGTAATAGTGTAATTTTCGAAATGTTCAAATGGCTATAACTTATATCTGAACAATCGAATTTGATATTTTAAAAAGAATAACTAGAACAATTTCTTGAATTTTCATGTTGATTTACTTGGGAGAAATTTCTTGATTTAGTGACATATTCGAGTGTAAGGTGTCTGATGGTGACGAATATCTTCCAAGCAATATCTTGATTGAGCTCACGTACAATGTACATGCCGTACAATCATAATCTCAACTATAATGTA